TAGACTATAGCTCATATGGGGTCCCCTGTCATTCAAGACCCCAAGCGCCCGAAGGCTTTAAGGGATCCAAGAAAGCAATCTAAGGTTTAGGGTTTAGGGTTTAGGGTTTAGGGGTTTAGGGTGAATCTACTAACAAGACCCCCAGCATTGCATTAGGATTCTGTTGGAGGGCTCCTCTTTTTGGGTAGCTGTCTGCTTAGGATGTCCTAGTTGGCCAACCCCCGACAGCACCTGGCTCCCTCACACTAGGTTATGTATGTGGAATCCTCATAAAAAAAAAACCAGCGGCGTGTATATTCTATGTATATGTACATGCGTATATGTGTGTGTGCATTAACTGACAAGAGTCCGCAGAAAGTCCTCCCCCCCCCCCCCCCGACCCGCATCTCAGTCTCAGGCCCATCGGCAAGTTGTAGCCCAAAATCTTCCCAGACCTAATGCAGGCTTGGAAGCTGGATTCATTAACGTGTGAGGCTCAGGGTATTCAAAGGATAAAAATAAAAAGCTATTTCCAGGTAGACCCAAGGGACAATACGGCATTGGTGAACGCTGGGCACACGTCCGTCCAGCCAAAAGTGGCCTCCAATCTAAGGCTTGACTTAGGGTTCTGTGACTTGGGGTTGGGATTGTAGGTGCCCAGGCATTCTCATGTGCAGTCTGTGGTCATGGCCAAATATCATGTCTTGAACCCTGCTGCCCTAGCGCTGTGAAAAAATGCCTAGCACATGTATAGGGAAACCCCTAAAACCAAGAGGAGGAAGGTTCTTAACGTTAAGTTATGAACTTAACTTTACTAAGCAGCAGAAAACCCTGAAGGGAAGTAAACCCATCACATGACCAGCCTCCCTTAATGGAGGACACTCCGGGGTCAGGGATCTCAACACACATAGCACACAGCGGACTTTGTACGCGCAACGAACCCCCGCCCAGCTGTTTCCAGGCATCTTCATATCTTCTTGAACGTGGTTTTTGGGCCTATAGTAACCTGGATCGTTGCGTCATAGGCACCTGGATCCTAAACCCACAACCTCAGAACCCCACGTTCAGTCTTGGCTGGCCTAACTTGAGCTCAACAGCCCCGAGCTACAGTCGCATACTTGAATGTAAGAAATCTCCAATCTCAATTAGAGACCACAAGACCTTACTGAGAGGGCCAGGGCTCGCAAATAATCTCCCGACCTCTGCTTTACAGCAATCTGCATTCCCAAATCTACAAAGAAAATCCCTAGCCCTGAATCCCTGAACCCGAAATCCCTGAACTCCCTTAACCTAAACCCTAAACC